GACAGCAAACAGTGCAGAGAAGACACTGGGCAAAGGTATGCATGTCCTGTAGTTATCCTGGTTTAAAGGTGGTGCTAAATAAATCCACATAAGAAAATGGGAAGAAAAAAGAGAAGAAAGGCAATGGTCATGGGCTTATCTGTTCTCTCCAAAGGAAGTGACAGAAATTAAAATGAACTGTGGAGAGAGAGGGAGGAAGAGAGCAGAAGCAGGGGCCATCATCCTATTCGTTATGCTCCAAAATGGCTTTCTGCACCTGTGCACACGCACACACACACACACACACACACACGTGCACGTGCACGTGTACACAGTGTAACAATAAAAATTAAAAATCAGAAAAGAGAAAAATCTGAAAATACTATTCGGAGTATCACTGCGCACCATGCCCTTTAGAAAAGAGTCCGAGCAACAGAGACCACAGTGAGCATGCGCACAGCCTTCACTGAAGAGAAAGACGCGGGTGCAAGTTTGGGGGTCAGTTTTCACTGTGGTCAACCCATCTGTTCTGAACCCCGACTTTCACTCAGCGCACCCTTCCCTCTCTTCTCCATGTGACTGTCGAGCTCGGCTCTCACTTCCTCTTGATTGATCCTGGGGCAATCTCCATCCTGGCGTTGTGTCCACCCCTCCTGCCCAAGCCATTTTCATTGTCACTGATGCTAGCGGAAGAACAATTTTCAGGGCCTCCAGTGTTCTTATCAAGTGTCTGCTTGCTTGGTACCATTGCAACATTTTTCCCATATTTTCTCTTTTTATCTACAAAATGATGCAAATTGGGTAAAAGGAAACCAATTTATATCTTACAAACTGTCTACTGAGCCTCATATCACTTAAGTGATCTGATTGCCGAAATTTCCAAAACTCATCAGAATGGAGATTGAAATGTGTGACTTATAATTCTTAATTCTGTGTCTTATGAAGCTAAATTGTACACACACAAAAAAAAAGCATGGGTTTCCAAACATGTGTCTCTGGGAGTTGAATCCCAGTTCACTGCAAACGGCAAGCTGTGATGTTCCGGGTTGGTTACTTAACATCTCTGAGCTAAAATATGAAAACCCAATCGATCGAGAAAGCCCCTGGGAAGACATGGCGATGCTGCTAGCTTGAGTTCAGACATTCATCCTGAATCCGGGATCTCAGGGAGAGTGAGAGCAATTATAACAATACAAGATGAAATCCGTTATTTATTCTCTGGTGGGGGACTGCCAAGAAGCACCTCATACATTTTTAAGCATTCTTTGTTATCACTCTCAACTACTACAAGTTCTTCAGTAGCTAGCTAGAGCCTTTTCTGTCGTGGGTGTACCCTTTTGGCCATGGCAGGCTTCCATACTCTAATGAATCTCAGCCTCCTGGGTGAGACAAGAGAATCCAGCGCCCTTTCTTCAGAGCCCTCTCCCAGACTTCTCTCCTGTGTTTCTTGTTCAGTTTTATCTGGGCACTTAACTAGGTACACACCACGTATCTCATTATCTAATCCTCGACCACTCACGAATGGATACTCCCCTCCCTGCTGCACAGGGAGAAGAAACTGAGGTTGACCATATCACAAGCTGGTGAGGAAACCAGAGTCCCACATCCAGTCGCCCAGACTCCAGCTTCTGAGTTCTCAACTAGCTCTGCTACGCTGTCCCCTGTGCCTCTTTCCGCCATAGTTTAATGTGCTTTTACCTCACTGAAGGCAGACCTCTGGCGTTTTCTCTGATCAGTTGGCGTTTGCGAACGTGAGCGCACGCCATTTGACCAGTCGCGGAGGCAGATCAGCGTCCGCTTCACCAGAAGTCCTTATAACAGGGGTGTCTTTCAGGCATCCAAAGCTTCACAAATACAGTGAGTGAGCAACTAAAAGCTATTCCATGAAAAGGAAAAACTATGAACCGCAAGGTAATTACCCGTCTCCTAGCAGGACAGATGCTCCAGTTAGTTACTAAGTTTCAGCCACAGACACCGCCTACCTCAAAGTTCCCTCCTTGGCTCCATTTTGACATTTTTTTTCTGAAGCTGAGGACCGAACCCAGAGCCTTGCGCTTTCTAGGCAAGCGCTCTACCACTGAGCTAAATCACCAACCCCCTCAGCTCCATTTTGAAATTCTGTATCCTGTTTCAAATCCCATTTCCCCATTCTACACATATATCATGCAACCATGGCGATTGAATGTATACTTTGATTTAAAAGCAAACGAACCTGATCTTAGACTTTGAGGTCAAAACTTCTCTCCCTGTGACCTGGAGGGCCCTTTATTTGGTACCATGCAGGTCCTCCAGGCCTATACCTGCTCCTCAGCACAGCCTGGGAATCGCCTCTATCTCCTCAGTGCCTCTGGCCCTGTGGCACCCTACTCTGGGGCCACCAGCAACCCTACCCCCTAACCTCCATGACCAAGCATCCAACTCTCTGGCTACCAGGACCTTTTCTTCCTTCTTCCTCTTTCTGATCTTGGGCCAAAACCCAATTAGACATTGTTTACTCCATGTTAGGACTTCTCCTGAAGCAATCACTGCTCGCCTCCTTTTACTAACGGGGAGAAGCAAGGGTGGCATGAGGTTTCTGAATGCAGTAACCATGGAGACAGAAGGAAGGGTGATAGCAACTCTCGTGACAGCAACCCCTGAAACCCACACTACCTACCAAGTCAATTCTGCCTTTTACCCCTAGGAGGCAGTAGCCAGCAGGTTCTCTGTAGAACTGTGCTGCACGGGTTCTTGTTCCTTCTCTCCCGCAGTGAGCCTCCTGCATTGCCTGACATTGAACCAGGTGCTAGCCTACTGCTGGTTCTATAGCATTTCCCACAATGCCAGAGGACAAAGGAGAAAGGAGCGAGTGAGGCTTATGAAGCCTCCACCAGCCGCATCCTTTCCTGGGAGAGCAATGGGGCATAGAATTGGCAACTGCAGTTAAAGTACGGCTGCCAGCTCCTACAGCCACGCTTGGGATGTAATATTTGATCTCTTTGAGCCTTGGTTTCCCCTCCTGAAAGAGAAGCACTGCCATTCAGCTCAGCAGTATTAAATAAAATAACACATGGACAGACTAACTGCCTAACCCACGGTGAACACTCTCACAGTACCCAGAATGCACCAGGGAGCAAGAGAGCCCAACCTCCACCCAGATTGCACCTCTGCTCCTAGTTTTATCCTCACGCTGAGGATCTTCAAACGACACCAGGGGGATGCTACCAATCGGCGTGTGCACAAGCTCCCTCCTCGAGGGAAATAACACGGGTTCGCAGTAACTCAAATGAGCAGCAACAACATCATTCTGATCTGCTGTACTCTGGAACGGAGCACACACTTATCTATGATTTTGAAATCTGGCTCTTCATCATGTCAACATTCTTCCGATGCAAGATAACACCCTTAGAATACCACGCAGAAAGTAAAATGTACTTGACTAAGGACAACGTTTTAAAATGGTGTCCACCCGAAGCAAACGCTCCGTGGCTTTTGCCACAGCTGGTGCCTTTCCCATTGTGTTTAAGTTCATTCCGAGCGACCCCTGCCAGTGTTTCTTTTCTGATATGCGTTTAGGTGCCCATGTGAACACCTGTCTCTCATGATACCGAAGCTTCTCTGCATCCCGCTCTCAGCCCAGCCTTCCCTAGATGGAGCAATGGGAGGCAGGCAGAAGCAGTAGCCGTCCCTCCAGCCACCAATAGGTGGCGACACTGGTCACAAGGGCTGCTCTGGTGAATCTGTGCTGTGGTAGTTCTCATCTGGTCAAGCAGCATGCTTGGGGTGGTGAGGTGAGGTTTGGGGTACCCACAACCATTCTTGATCACACAGCATGACTTTCAGAGGGACCTACAGCATTTCTGAAACTGAAGGCAACAAATCCGGGAGGGGAACAGTAAGGTGGGAAGGTGTCTAAAAGTCACACATGTCCCATGTATTGCAAGAGGGTGAATCGTTGTCCGTCTGAAAGGAATGACGGCCGTGGGAGCTAAGCAACAAGCACTGAGCAGCATAGTGAGGGGGAAAAACAACCGAACAGTCAGCAACGGCTTAAAACTCCAAGCAGAACACGTTTTCTGAGATTTCAGACTCAGTGCTGAGGTCAAGTGAGTCACTGTCCGTCCTTAGATGTTTAGTCCAACCTGGTTCAGGCATTCCCTTTCTGAACCTTCACAGCCATGTTCTCATTTAACCGTACTCTGGAGTCACTTGAGAAGGTTTTCAGACCCCAGAATCCCAGGCTGGAATTTAAGCGGACTTCAGGGCTATGCAGAGCCCTCCAGATGACTCCAGTATGCAAACCACAGTTAAAACTACCGTTAAAGCTAACCATGGAGAGAGAACACATGGCTGCTGTGGTTGTGTGGCTAGTGGCTTTAGGATGGGCAGATCCTGAGATGTAAGTGGGCATCTTCCTAGTGCTGTGACATTTGGGTCTTCACAGACAAAAACTACCTGCCGTGGGCATTTTTCTTTTTAAATTCTTACAACCATTGTGGTGGAGAATATTTTAGTAACCATGATAGAGCAGGGGGTGTCTTATAGTGTTGAGGGAGCTACTAACATACCTATTTTGGAAAAAAAAATCTATCAATACTTCAACTTTTAATATCTCTCAGTCATAGACAAACAGACACATAAATCTGTCCTAAACTCTTGACCAATGGTTCTCAACCTTCCTAACGCTGCAACCCTTTACCACGTTCCTCATGTTGTAGTGACCCTCAACCATAAACTCTTTTCATTGCTCCTTCATAATTGTAATTTTGCTTCTATTACGAGTCATAATGCAAATATCTGTGTTTTCTGACAGTCTAAGGCGACCCCGTGAAAAGGTCGGTAAGACCCCAGGTTGAGAACCAGGCTCTTGGGGCGTCTACACCAGCATTATTTTCCTACTTTCATCTCCTAACTATCCGACTAGTTCACGAACTCTCATCTGTTCACTTTACGTGTCCTGGTAAATTTCTATGTTGAACCTCTTAGTTTTGCCTTAAAAAATCAATGCGCCGTTTGCTCCTCAGAAGAGCCGTCTTTTTTACCTTATCTGCCATTATCATGGATGAGCCCCCATGGATGCCCAGGATAGGGGTGAGCGTCTGAGCAGAAATGAAATCGAGGATCTGGGCGATGGCTTCCTGGTCGGTGTCATCAGCGAACACCACCCCCTGGATCTTCCGGTCGGACATAAGATCGCAGATACGGGTGATGATGCTCTTTGGGTCAGTTTCGTTCATGGCTACCAGCTCCACCCGGGGAACTACTGAGAGATGATGGAAGTCATCTTTCTCGTGGGCGTCTTTTATGGCCACTTCGTCTGAAGTGCCCACGAGGATAACAGCGATGCCGATGCTGGGGGGGCTCTTTTGGGAACGGGCTTTGCTGCCGGATACGGCCAGGACGGCCAACACCAACCAGAACTTGGGAGAACAGCACTCTGCGCTGGGCTTCATCTTCAGCTCGTCGACTCTCTGAAAACAGAAAGGAGACAATGGTTAAAAACCCGAGGTGTGCTAGAGAACACGTCTTTGCAGCGTCTGAATGCTTGCAGAGTCAAGAAACTTTATCTGCTGCTCATGAAGCTTAATTTCTCTCCCCCTAACCCAGCGTCTTAATGTTCTCTGGGCACGAAGAGAGAAAAAGAAATTTTCAAAAGCTTAATAAATCTTTGACCAAGACAAATCAGCAGCCAACAGACAGAGATAAAGCAGCTAAGGATGTGCTCGGAAGTGTGGGTCAGCCAAGCACGCACATGCGCGCATGTGTACATACACACACACACACACTGGAGACAGCAGGAGGGGTCTTGTTCTTGCCTGGACCCCTGGAACTCTAGTTATAACCATCTTTGAGCTGCCCTTGGCAAAGGGAGCTTAGCAGAAGCTGGCCACAAAACATGGCCTGGATAAGATGAATCCAGCAAACTCCAGGCATGGAGGCCCCATGGTCTTGTTGCCTGGACCTCATGTTTGCCTCCCAGGGAGTGACAGCTGGGAATCGCTTCCGTATTTCTCCTTTAGAATCTGTCTCTTAACATTAAATTAGAGAAGCAGTACATGGATACTTAATTGTAAATGATTGTTACAATCACCCAGCAGGGAAAAATTAAAAGGAGTATTAGTATCTCATTTTATGGATGTTGACATCAAGGCTCAATGAAGTTAAGGGACCTACCCAAGACTTAATAAAGTGAAGCAGCCCTTAAAAAAATAAGATTCCATTTTGTGTAGTGTGTGTGTGTGTGTGTGTGTGTGTGTGTGTGTGGCTTTGTTTGTATATACTACATGTGTGTAGGTACCCTCCCAGTCCAGAAGAGGCATCAAATCTCACAGAACTGAAGTCATTAAAGTGTTTGTAAGCTGCCAGTGTGGGTGCTGGAAGCCGAACTCAAGTCTTCTGCAGGAGCAGCAAGTGCTCATTAATGTTAAGCCAGGTCCTGACGCAATTTTGAACCCAATTTTCTGACTGTTTGTCTTCTACCTTGAATGCCAGGACACTGCACACCCCACACTGCCTTCCGCATCGTCAATCACCACGTTACAAGAAACAGTATCATCCTGACCTTTCTATGCATCAAAATACAAGAACAAGCAAATACTACTCCGGGTTGGAGTCATGGAGTGTCAACCTTGAAGACAGTTCTATTTTATTTCCAGTGATAGCCTGTAGCTGTAACTTCCTGAGAGAGTGGCCTAGATATTTGTGTATAGCTCACTTCCTTCTTCCTACAAAGAGCCCCTCCCTTTTCATTTCCACACGGGCTCCTAAATCACACACCACGCAGCAGACTGAAGATGCAGAACTCCATAGAATATGAGCCTCGGTCATTTCTCTTTATGTTTCTCATCATTCGCTCTAAGTGCCTCTTTTTTGTGAGAATGGGTCCTGCCTGTGTTGCGTTGCCTTAAACGGTCATTTATTGTTCCGTATCATACACTGTGCACTGGAAGGTGTTTTCCTCATGTGAATCTCTTTGTTTCTCATGAAAATGCTACAAATTAGACATTTTATTCCCATTTCTCAAATGGAGAAACTGAAACCCAAGCCAGTTATGCAATCCTCTAAGGTCAATGGGGTTACAATACCAGAATGCAAATATATTAACACAGCATTGTTCTCCAAATAAACAGCCTACGAGGTATACCCAGCACTAGAAGTTTTCTATCAAACATGAAAATGTTGTTTAATCACTCCTGTTTTATTGACCAAAAGAAAAGGGGGGAGCGATATTTAGGGACCTAAAAATTTGAGAATTTGGATAACAACAAGAAAAAAATTATAATGAAGGTAGTGAACAAAGAAAGATCAGGAAGTATTCACACTGAGCAGACTGACCACAAAGGGCATTAGTGATTCGGGAGTGAGAGGCTGGGACATTTTGTGGCTGAGGAAGCAAAAAAATCCAATCCAGTTCTTGGCAGCAAACCTAGTGGAACTCTAGCTGTTATGGTCATCCTTCAGCATTGCCAAGAGGAGACCTGGGTCGATTGCCTTGCTTCTCCCGAAAGAAATAATACGAGTGTCTCTGTGGCTCACACCCGCCAGAGCTCACTCCTGACAGATTTCTGGTCTCTGTCTCTGTGGAAATGAACAATGACGCCATAGGTTCCAAAAGCCTGAGCTGATGGGCTACGGATGGTCTGTCAGCAGATCTGGGGACTGGCACCTCCTCGGTGTTTAAAGAAGGGCAGTAGATTCCAGAGGCTGAGTAGGACCGAATATTCAATAGGAGACAGCTGAATTTAGCATCTCAGATAAGGAATATACATGCTCAATTCCAAGGACTGATTCTTTCTCAGTGAGAACCCAGACATTTAGAATTTGGCTAACTCTGTCCACTCGCCTTTTTCCAGTGAGATTCTAATCCTACAGTTACAAGTCCCTAAATTAGATTTCTTCACATTTGAAAGTGGCCCGCTCTGCCACGACAGTTTATTAACTTTAATGCACCCCATGCGCTTCTGTTTCAAGCTTTTATTTACGCTCTTTAAACACCTCTCGTGTGCCTCCATTTTCTCTCACACAATATATTATACTTTTACGCAATGGCTAGTGGTGACATGCAGCAACTCTTTACAAAGTAATGCATTGTGGGAAATAGAAGTGACAGATGAACAGAGAAAAAGCTCTGAGTACAAACTCAGTTTCAGAGATGGGGGGATGGGCAGTTGAGAGAAAGTGTGGTCCAAAATAAATAATACCACACCCTTCTTCAGACGGACCAAGAACGTTAAATACAGTGCTCTTTGGTGTTTGCCTCCTCTTCTACATTTTACTTCATCCTCCTGAGGAGAACTGGGAAGCACTTCCTTTGACTCCTCACCAAAGCTCATGAGGCCCACCTTGGGCTTGGGATGGTTCAGTATACTTAAATGTAGTGCATCGGCCAGTCTTAAACAATAGGTGACCTCCTCACGAGCAGACCTCTAAGGTCAGCCATCTTGTAGTGAGTACCAACTACCTTGCAGACAGTGTTTCCCCCTCATCTCCCTTCCCTCCAGCAGTGGGAATTGAACCCATGACCTTGCACATGCTAAGCACATGTTCTATAACTGTGCTATATATTCCAATCCTGGACATTAGTCTTGATACTGAACATGCCATGAACACATGTTCTACCATTCAGGATCATCATCTAAGAGAAGTTACAGTCATAGAAGAAATGTTCTCTCTCATTTCCATTTCCATTCTTGGGGTGCAGCATTGCCTCATATACCTTAAACAGGGAAGATTCTATCAATTATAGCCAATTATAGGCTTTTGCCAGCACATAAGACTACACATAAACTGGGATATGTAACAGTTTGCATTTCAAAGTGTTCACCTACGATGTGACAGATACTATGGCTGACAAATTTTTGTGCATTACTTGATTCCTATAAAAAACACTGCCAAGTCATGATTCTCCCTGAGTTATAAATGAGAAAAGAGAGCTCAGAGGTCAAATCACATGACCAAGATCATATAGCAAATTGGGCTTCATACCCAAGTTTGTCTAATCCTGAAAGTCTTTCTTTTTCCATTCTGGGAGTGTTTCAGTCCAGGCAGATAAAAGGGAGAATGAACAAACGAACGAACGAATGAATGAATGAATGAATGAATGAAATGACTAACCTGACTTTAAATCAGCAGGATGAGGCTGAGAGAGTCACCTAATTAGTGCTGTCTGTCCTGTCATCGCTGCAGTCATGATAATAGGCCTAACCTACATACCTGGAAGGGTGTTTGAAGATCCAATGATAATATGTATATGGAAGTGCTTTGAAGGCTGTAAAATGCTCTGCAGATGCAAATGGAGTTACTGTTCAGCTTTTAGGAGCGGTTCAAGAAGCCTGGCTATTTACGACAGCATGTGGGATGCGGGGCAAGAGAATGTCAGACAGGCTGAGGGGAACTCTAAGAGGGGCAAAAGACATGCGTTCTCTCCGGATATAACTTCCTGAAAAGGTATCCCCTGATGTCCTCAGAGTAACAGGAGTAACAGCGGACTCCGCTGAGAGCATCCTGGCCATGAGGCTGAATTTGGGAGCCATTCAGGCGAGGGGCCAATATCCTGAAGCTCCATGTCTTCAAATCGTGCTTTAAATTCATGCACAAAAGAGGTGCAAAGAGAATCAGCAAGAAGGTGGAAAGGTTGGACTGACCGTCCACTGTCTCAGCCCTCTGCTTCCTTGGCATTTGGTCTGGGGGAACCATGCCAGAGGCTTCAGGCTTTAAGGTACACGGTGCTCACAGCAAGTGGCAGCCTACACTTGTTCCTAGCTGTCTCTACATACAACTGGTTGAGGAGATGGACCAACGCTTTCCCTGGAGAAAACTAAGTCCCGGGGTAACTCTCATAGGAAGCGTGGGAAGTGATTCTGTAGGAAATTTTAATCCAAAGTTGCCAAGCACTACCCGATCAGGAAGCTGTCTGACGTCACTCTGCTGAAAGCGGATATGGTGGGACTATGACAGACAGTGGTCAACAAGGGATTAAAAGTTTGGGACCTAGACAGGTGTCACTGCACACCTGTGTAATCCCAGCACTTAGGACGTTGAGGCAGAAAGACTGAAGGCTTGAGTTGAGCCAGGGCCGCACAGGGAGACTGTGTCTAATAAAACAGTGCCAAAGCCACGCTTCAGACCCAGGAGCTGCCGAAGCCAGGAATAAAGCTGGAAAGTTCTGGTGCGCAGGCTTTAAAAGCTGCCACGGGAGAAGGTAGGGAATGCAGAGTAGCCGTCACTGTAAAAGACGTGAGTGTAACCTTTCTGAAGGTAAATGTGAGCATCTCAACATTACAATACCAAGACAAAACCCAACAATGAAACCATCAAAAGACAATGATAACTGTCACCTGGGCGCCGGAATGCTAGAATAGTCCCGAGGACATATGAATCTAAAAATCCAGGTTGACATGTAGGAAAGTGCAGCTAAATTTTCCACGAGGGAAAAGCCATAAATTTGACAGGC